TAGTTACGGTGACATTTCATATTTTTAAGTTTGAGTAGTAAAATTAAAATAGAAATACTAAAAAACTAATGACAAAGTGCAAAATGAAAATTACTAAAACTGAAAAAAAGAAATAAATTCAAGCTAAATTGAAATATTAAACAAACTGATACAAATGACAAAAGCACATAACGAAATGACTGAAACTGAAATAAAAATAAATTCAAGCTAAATAGAAATCTAAAAAACTAATAAAATGTCAAAAGCACATACAAAATGATTAAAACTAAAAGGAAACTGAGATGTTAAATAAACTGAATAAATTGGAATATTAAAAAAAACTACAAAAAATCACAAAAGCGCATAAAATTACTAAAAAATAAAGCTGAAATCAATTAAAGCTAAATATAAAAAATAAAAAAGCATTTAAAAATGACTAAAACTGAAATAAAAATTCAAGTTGAACAATAAAAATAAAAAATATAAAAATAACTAATAAAATGTGCAAAGCACATAATATTACTAAAATTAAAATTAAAACTGATCATATAAAAATAAAAGCTTATTTAAAATATTAATCAGTTACTACTAAAATACTAAAATAACACTGAAAAGGATGCACACCATCAGCAGATCCTGACAACCAGGAAATAACAGTTTTGTGAATTTAGCATTTTTTCATGTCACTACATTGTAAAAACTGAAAAAAATAAAAGTTTTGAAAAATGATATTATATTCATATTTTATGATATCTCTGTAGAGTTGAGAAAACAAAGACATGAATAGACATGAAAAGGCAAAAACAGTGGGATTTTTGTTTTAATCACAAATCAAAATTTTTTTTTTATACCAAACTTTATATAAAGATGATTCTCAACTATGTTATGAAAGATATAATAGAATGATTTGATATACCATTTTCCTTTATATGCAAAATGTGTGTAAAATGGCCATAAACGGGTTTTCCCATGATATACAATGCATCTATAAACTGTATCTAATTTGTGTTTTTGGGGCAACACGTAATGAAAAAAATAAGTGCAATAATGGGAGTAATAATTGGCAAGATTTTCATAATAATATCTAATAGGAACACTGATATATAATTTCTTTCCCTATTAATTTGTTGTGTCTCCCAAAATGCATAATAAACATGCTTTAAGTCCTGGTGTCCTCTACAGTGGACAATATGAAATTGATGTCCTGTTTCATAACAGAAAGTCATATTTTGATTTGAAACCCCAACATTTTCCTGAGATATTGATTTATGACAACCAGTCAGATTTAAATGATCATTACAAAATATTATCATATTTGCATAAGGGTGTTAATTTGACATCATATCACATCAAAAGATGATCATATGATTTGATTAGTTCTTCACACGGCTTAATGCTAAAGGCTATTAAGGCTATTAATGCCTATAAGGCTAAAGGTTAAATCAAAGAAATAAAGACATTTCACTTGAATCCAGGGTTTTTAAAATCAAATATAAGAGCTTTTGTTGGATCTGCACAAACTAAACAATCTCATAATAAACCAGCTATCTCAGGCTGTGGCACACATTTAACTGCAAAACAGGGTAAAATACTCAAGATGTGTTTTATTCAATATTTACATAGCTACTGAAATTGGGTTATGATCTCAAATATCAATGCACACAAAGTAGAAGTCCATCGATATTGATTTTGCTGATACGATAATGTGTTTAAAGAAAGGCAATAAAAAGACTCTTGTGCCGATACTAATAAAATCTGTGTTAAATAATGTCCTTAGTCTTTCTTTTCTGTGATGAAGCAGATCAGAGAGAAAATACAAGGGTTTGCATTGAATTAAATACCAGCTTTTAGATGCATAATGAGG